CTGTCAAAATGTAAGAAATTCTGTAGAAGTACAGAACAGACTAATCTCACCTGATGAAAAGTCTTATGGATCGTACTTTTCACGTTTGAACTCCCAGAAGCGCTTTGTGAAAGTAAATTTTAGTTTTTCAGGCTAATCATTAGATTTGTCAGAATCAAAAAAGCAGAACTTGTATTTTTATTTGACATCTAATATAAAATCGCAGCCTGCCCACAAGAAAGAGAGATTATGCTTATCAATGTTAAGTTCCATGTATTTATCATTTTGTGTAGTCGGAACGTTAATCCATCAGATTATAATTGTATCCAGATACCGTTTCCAAACGATGAAAGACTGGAACGCAAAGCAACCAAGTTACGCAAAGAAATCCCAATGGTTGGTTTCTCTTCAACTGCGTCCAGCTTTCATTACTATTGCGAATCGCATACTTTTTAGTTTTTGTTTCAACCACGTACAAAAATTCTTTGCAAAACTCATTATGTTAGACTTTCCTTGTCACCCATTAAAATGACATTGCGCTGTAAAATACATAAAGCTAATTGGCACAAAAACGTTTATTGGATATGTAAGATTGTATATACATTCCCGTAAGAATTCCTGTGGAGGTATTGCAACTTCAGTCAAGAGCTACGGCCTTCCTTGATTCTTCGTATAACCTTTCACAAGCCGCACTGTTTTGGCACTTCTCCGGCACGACGCTGACTGCGAAATCTCTGAAACAAATATTTCTTTAGGCAAAAATTACAAAACAATTTAGCTTACTTGAAGTACTCCCCATTGCCTTTATATGCTTTCTCGCTTAGTGCGAGAAAAATCGGTAGTTGAGCTCCATCTTCGACGGTTTTGAGCACGAACCACATAAGAGGTCTAAAAAACAGTGAATATAAAAAGCAGTACAAAGTCAAAGTCAATTTCTGTATTCACCTGAATACTACCCTAACCCATTGGTATCCAGACTCCCTGAGTATATTGGAATCGACTCCTCCTGGATGGCAAGCAGTCACGGTAATGGGAAGTTTCTTTTCCCGGATAATCTTGGCTAAGTGCCTTGTATACATTACCTGAATAAGAATTTCGCATATAAACAGCCGCCTTGAGAAGAATAAAGTGAATTCAGGCACCTGAGCCATCTTGCTCCTACTGTACGCCTTCATACCACCATATTTGGAGGGATC